ATTTGGTGTGATTTGGGTGTGATATGGGTGTGATAATCATGTGATTATCACACAATTATCACATTATCGCTTATATCAACACGATTTGGTGTGATATGGGTGTGATAATCATGTGATTATCATAAATTATCACAAGGATTCCGCTCGGCTAGGGTTAACTTAGAAAATCGACTACCGATTTGGTGTGATATGGGTGTGATAATCATGTGATATCACTATCATAACAACGCACTCGATTTGATCATGGTTTCGATCGGTTAGGATTAGACGATCACACATTTATCACAACGATTACGGGTGAAATCCACTAAACGATTTGRTGTGATATGGGTGTGATAATCATGTGATATCACTATTATAACATCACTTGCGCACTCAATTTGATCATAGTTTCGATCGATTAGGGTTAGACAATCACACATTTATCACAACGATTACTTATGGTTTCGATAGGTTATGGTTACACTTCATTGATTATGGTTTGATAGGTTATGGTTACACAATCACACAATTATCACAAGGGGAGAGGAGAGAGTGGAAAAGAACGTGCAGTAAAACAAGGGATAATTATGACTAATTAAAATAAAATAAAAATTATAAAATTAATTAATTACATTACTGTCTTTATTAATTTATTTATATTTAATATAAGTTAATTTATTAATTAAAAAAGTTTGAGGTTATTAGATTGTTCTCGCATTCTCGTAAATCACAGGGGTTCTCGTTTGAACCTCCACCTGCTACATAAAGGCAAAATTCAATGCATGTTGGTTTTAAACATTGACTTATTTAAAACCTAAAAGGTTTTAATAATCCCGCTTGTAATCTTGTACATATCCTCTTCATTGAATCACCTTCATCTTATAAGTTAAGTATTCATCTATAAAGACGTAAGAACAGAACCCACAAAAGCTTTGAAAATATCCTATTAATTAAATTTTACGATATAAACATATTTTTTTATACAACATTTGTTTTTAGAACAAATTTTCAAATATAGTGTTAAATAAAATTATTAATTGAACGTTTTATATCAAAAATGTTCTAAAAAATGGTTAAAACACGTGAAAAACTACCGTAAAAATATACTTATATTTGTGATATAAATTTAAGATATTACATTTTCGTCGTAACACAATTTCAAAAGAAATCACGACCTCCATTTACATTTTAATTTGAATAAAGGTAATAAAAACATGCTTCTGAAAAGCTTGTGATCCATCTTCATCACCCATGAAACCATTTCATGTTCTTCATTCTTCAATTCGATGCCATTTCTTGTAATCTTCAGTTTGTCAAATACCAGCATGCCATCAAGCATCTCCACCACCCTACGGTGGCGCGTGTTATCAACTCCGTCAGCTTCGCAGCTTAATTACATGCCTCTCAACAGTTGCATATTAATGGCTGTTCCGACACCCGCCAAAGCTTCACCGAGTTATCTAGACTGCCGCTGTACACAATCCAATCTTGATTATTCTGATCATCATCTTCGACCGGCTCCTGAACCGCCAGACATTTCACAGGTCCGGTGTGGCCGTTCAAGACCGACAAACATGTGTGAATGCCGCCACCGTCCCTCCGCCACACACAGATGCTCTTGTCCGCCGACCCACTCAACAACAAGTTTCCGGCCGCTGCAAGACAAAGAACTGCGAGCTTGTGTCCCCTAAGAACGCCGCCGTGGGATAACGTTTGCTTTTCTCGTTCCCAGAAGTTAACAAGGCCATCGGAGGATCCGGCGTACACGGTGGCCTCGGCGGCGTTGATCACCAGAGACGTAACAGCGCTGTCTTGATCCAAAAGAGTGTGAATCATAAGGTGCTTCATGGTCTTCCCTACTAACTCCCTCCGCCACACCTTCACCGTTCCGTCGGCGGAACCGGTGAAAACTAGACCGTCAAAACCGACGACGAAGGAATTAATGGCGTCTTCGTGGGCGTGTACGGACTCTAAGCATTTCGAATCCGAAAGCCTCCAAACTTTAAAAGATTTATCCCACGATCCTGAATATAATAACCCTCTTTCTTCATCCAAACTCATGCACGCAACGGCGTCGTAGTGCTTTATCCACGGAACATTGCGTCGTCGTCTTACTTCAATGTAATTATTAGGGTTCAGGGAGCTCTTGATGTAGTCTTTCGTTGTGGGTAAATTACCGACCCGTTTGTAAGCTTTCTTCTTCTTATCCAAATACTTCCAGACCCGAATTTTGCCGTCCTGGTGGCCGGTAAATATCCGATCACCGGAAACAACGATGGTTTTCACTAATCCGCTACTGGATTTAAAACCAGAAAACTCCATAAAATTCTTCCACACCCGAATGTTTTTAGAATCGGAACCTGTGTATAACAAATCACCTGACGACGCTAACGAATAAATATGACCCTCTTCACGTATCAACGAGCCGATCAAACCAGTATTCTGGATGTTTCCATCGTCGCCGTTAATGAATGGAAGAATCCATGGAGATTTCGTGTAGGGTGAGGGCATCTGGTTGATGGGTGACATGAAATGAACCGGGGACGAAGTTGAAGACAAGACAGGACTAAGAGATGAAGCGTTGCTACGGCGATGATCTACGGTGTTTTCCGGTTGGTCGTGGGTTGTAATAAAAACGTTTGGTTCCGAACTACGGAGGAGAAAGGAAAGTTTCCCTCGCCGGAGGACTGTGTTCTTCTGTGAAACAATGGTGTTATCAGTCATATCTTTGGTCATGTTCTCTGTGATCGGGAAAGAAATCGATCCAAGGGAATATCGAAAGAGAAAGAGAAGATGAAGAGTCTTATTTATATTGAACGTGGTGGATGCTAGAAGTAGGTGGGCGATTCAACACGTGGCTTTTCTTAATTCAAGATTTGTAAAATTTGGTCCATTGTTGTTTGATGCAGTGAAAGAACATGGGTTTATATGACTCAAGGACGTGTGTCTTTCCTGTTTTAGGAAGCCAGTGTGGACACTTGACTTTTCCTCTTCAAAACATAACTTACTTGTTTAGGAAGGTTTGTTACTTTTTTGAAAATTTCAATTGCTTGCCACAATATTTTTTCCTTTTTACTTATTTGACACCTCCAAAAACCAACCTTTCTAGTCTTTGCATTCATAAAATGTGCAAAAAACAAAAAGAATACCGTTTTATTCCATTCACACCTTCAAACGTGTTTTCCGTAAAGAATGATTTCTATGATCAGGATGACCTCCTTGGTGAGAAAGATATGATTGAGGTTGAATCTGATGATGGAGACACCGCTCGGTTTCTTACCAGTGATATCTCGTCCTCCCAAGTTGATCCGAAGACCTCTCAGACTCCTGAGCAGATGGAATCCTCCCCTGGTGTTCAGTGATTTGTTTGTTGTGTTGCCTTCTCTTGGTTTGCTCTCTTAGGTCGTTGTAGGGCGTGCTTGTTTTAGGCCCCTTTTCCGTCCTTTGTTGTTTTTCCCGTTTGTTGCCCTGGCTTGGCCCGCCTGGGACCTTCCTTTGTGGTTGGTTTCTTTCTTTTTCCCTTTCTTCTCGGGATGTCTTGTTTATTTTGGTGGTTGTGGTTCGCCCTCACCCGAGCGCGTATTTGTCTTGCGTTTATTGTTTTTTGCTTGATCTGGAGGGGTCTCCCCCCTCCTTATAAAAAAACGTGTTTTCCGTACCATTTTTAAAAGAAACCATACATCGCTTATTAATGATATTTTCTTATTAAACTCATGAATCTTGCTTTGTAAGTTGGTATCATGCACCATTGTAACCTTGGCCTCTATCATGGGTCTTTATTTTATAAAAAGTGTGGAAATCCAAACTTTAAGTTTGGTCATGATCCACCGGCCAAATATGGTGCGAGGGGGGAGGGGGGGTTGATTTTGACATTCTATTAAAAAGGTGTCCTTGAAAAGTATACTTTTCTTTTAGGAGGACTGTTGGCGAATATTCTTAACGAGTAAAAAAAAGAACGTGTTCGTCTTTTTGTGATTTGGGCGTATTAAGTTTGACGAGAAAATAAGGTTAGGCGAAAGAAAAAAACGCCTACGTGGCACCACTTCTATGTTGGTTTGATCTTTTCTTTTTCTTCCAGGTGTTGTTTGAAAATACAACATAAATTTCAAAATTTCTACTTACCAATTGGCACGATGCAATGGATGTGACATAAATCAATAATATTAAAATTAAAAAAGAAGGATTATATTTGTTATTTTTAATGAAATAAAATTACAAGACATGGGTGTTAAATTAAATTTTATGAAATTATCATTTTTTTATATATATATTTTAGATTTTTAAAATCTTCATTTTAAATTTTAGATTTAAAAACCTAAAATATGATTTATTTTAGTTTTCCTAATAAGTTTTTTGATGTATTCGTTTTTATGACGTTTATATTTTAAGGGGTCTTTATTTTAGAATCAATAAAATTTTGTGATTACCTTCATAATCTATGTATCATTTGTTATTTGATATGATTTTTTTTTCTACATATAGCTTAGAATTAGTTTATTGATTAACATATATTTGTTCACACTGTGAACAACTTTTTATGAAACACCATATACAACTCAAAAGTGTTACATTGTGGACGGAATACATATGAAACAAACAGATTATAAAAAATAAATACATGTTAATTAATATATTAAATTATAGTTTTAGATGAAAAGGATAATGTAAAATAATACTTTACAATAATAGTTCTCATAGTTATCACAATATATGCAGGGACGTTCCAATGTTTTTGTAGGCTCTACTACATCTAAATTTTTTGATTACATTCCATAAATGAGACTGGAGAAATATATGTTAACCATAAAAATGGGCTAAACCTAAATGATTAACAATCAGAACCTAAACCCAAACAATTAGTAATTTGAATATGAACAATTTCGGCTACATATAGCTTTACACAGTTCGATGCAAGAATCCAAACACATGTAAAAATGATCCTCAAAATTATAAAAGTTCTATTCAAAATCTCACATTTAAATACTAAGAAACGGCTCTAGATTCTCAAATAATTAAGCGCTTATATCTTACATTGTTACTTATATTCCTTAACCGATTTTATTCATACTACAACTTATTTCGTTGCCTTTCATGCTCTTTTTTCAACGATTGAAAATAATAACCAACTAACCAATCCCAAATGAATTTCGCTTTTGAAAATTACACAATTTCAAGATATGTTATCTTAAAAGTGATTTGTTGGCTAATTTCTCGTCTCATATGGTTGATCTATTGACTAATGTATTTGTCAATATTACCATTTATCCATGTCTTTGTTGCATAATGGAAGTTGTAATAAAATGGTCAAATCTAACTTCACACATATGAATTTAGATGATTCACGGCTTTTCATTATTCATTTAGATTTGGACTATTTTTATTTATATATTAAATAAAAATACTTTTTATTCAAATAATCTAATGAAATTTATATATTATCACTTATTTATTAGAGTTGGGGTATATTATTATAGGAGAATCTATACTTACTATAATGCAAAGGGGGTTTATAGGACACTTTTTTACAATGCTTTTCAACAAGTCTCCCATATCAAAGACATAATATGACGATAAGTTAGCGTATCCTTATTGATACATGCATGGTTGGGTTCCAAAGTGAGAATGAAAGTGTTGGTGCGACGAGAGATGCATTGGACTAATTCTCATGATAAGCGCAATTCATGGAGTGGGTGAAATTAAAAGTGATTTTATTATGCTTGTCACTTTAACTCTTATTCTCACGCGATCTGTAGTTATATGATACAACACTTAAGTTAATGTATCCTTATTGATACATTATGATACGACACTTAATTAGTAGGTCTTATTAACTTCTACTTGGGAGTGTAAACGAGTCAAGTCGAGTAGTATATTATTCGAATTCGGCTCGAAAAATTAATATCATGCTCCAGCTCGAATAACTTTTTCAATATAGAGCTCGAGTTCGAATATTTTTTGAATTATCGAACTCGATGCTTGTTCACGGGTTTGAACTAGCGATCGATAATTTTTTATATTTTTATTGTAAGATTAGGCTGCGTCTAGTACATGGGACGGGACTAGACAGGACGGAACAAAACCCATTAATTGTCCCATGTTTGGCGCAGCATGAGACAGAATAAGAACTCATTGTCCCACGTTTGGTGCGACATGAGACATGTACAAGAACTGGGACAAGGTGGGACAGCGTGAGACAAAAAAGGTTTTTTCTTGTTCCACCAAAATAGGTGAAACAAGATGGGACAAGAATGAGACATAAACTGAAATATTATTAATCTACCATAGTTTAATATATAACATTAATATGATATTTGTTTTAATTGTCATCACCACTAGTTTCAGCCACCGCCACCACTATCAGCGGTCACCGGCGGCCACCTTCACCTCCTCTTCCACTACAACAACATCATCTACCGCCTCCACTACCACCGTTGTCAACCGCCATCACCACCACAATCTACCATCTTCATGTCCTCTATAACCACCGTCGTCCACCAAGCACCATTGCTTCTACCTCCATAAACACTGTTGGCCACCGACCACCACCACCCGTTGCCACTACTACCGTCGGCCACCACCACCACCACCACTACCATCAATTATATCAAATTTTTCATTCAAATTTGGTACAAATATGAAAATTATGTACAAATATTTATTCTTTAATTATTTAATTTATTTGTGTTAATTATTAACTATTATATAATATTTAAAATCATCAAATAATGTCTGCGTACCAAACGCTACCTTAATGAACATATGAGCATGTTCCCAACAAAAAAGTGTAGGCTTGAGCTTGAATGAACGGCTCGGCTTGAAATATTTATTCGAGTTTTTGAACAAACCGAGTCGAACATTAATGTTATGAAGCTCAGTTTGTTAAGTTAAACAAGTTGTTTTTTGTTCGAGATCGACTTGTACTCGAGAATTATTCAGTTTGAGCTCAAAAATGAGTTATAAATCAACCAGAGTTGAACCTTTTTTATCTGATGTCTTTTTTTAGAGTAATATAAGAAGATTTACATTTCACGAACACCATGTGAATAGCACGTTCCCATGTTATTATAATCAACTCTATGTTTAGTCATAAGTTTTTTTTATACACTTGATATATTTGAAATGAAACAAAATGGATGTTGGATTAATATGGTATGCATCAAGAAGGTCGAGGCCAGACCATAATTAATACTCCACTCCGGGTAGCTTAACTATTAAGCCATTGGTTTTACCCTCAAATGTCTAGTCCAACTCTCTCAATAGCAATCGGAGGTTTGTATCAGATAATTTGAGGTCTCATAAAATAATCGAAGTGCGCATAAATTGTTTTAAACAACCACGTATCCAAAGAAAAACATTAGATATAATCTTATAGAGTTATAAATTAATGCGTTGATAAAATCCCACAAAATTCAGTAGGTGTCGTTTACCTAAACAATTACTTGTCAAATGCTTATCGATAAGATTTATACTATCACTTCTTTCACTAGATAAGATTTTAATCCATCAAAAAGACATCGTATGCAACAATTCATCGAATATGTGCTTATCAAATAAAACCGTAAAAGAACCATTATTTTTATCGAATAAAATTCACGGTTACCGTCATATTCATTTAATAGATTGTAAAATAACGTGATTTGGTAAACGTTTAAAAAAAAAGAAAACAATATGATGAAAGCAAGACACGTAGTAGGCGTCACTTTGTTTGATTAATAAACTATGATAAGGAGCAGTGG